ATGTATACTGACTCCATTTAAATATTTTTTTTATCAGTGTATGAAGGCAGGAAAATGGTACCTACTTTCTGTCTCTTATACACATCTAGATGTGTATAAGAGACAAGTCTATGGTTCTGACCAAGGACTACTACACACATTGTAATACTATTGTATGAAACAATTATGGGCATATCATTTGTTGATGCCACTAAAACAACAGCATTTTCATAGTGTAGGCGATCGCCTCTGCTAGCAGAGGCTGGACATAGGCTATGCATGTCCTGTGTGTAGTAGTCCTTGATATATATATATATATATAGCACGTATAAGTAATAACGGATAGAGGGATAAGCAATAAGACGTATAAACAGGTAGACTAGCACGATACTACGAGAAAAATAATCGTACAGGCAGGCAGACGGATAGATCGACGGTGAGACAGACAGCTGATTGAACGGTCATAAAAGAGACAGTGTAATTCCTGTGGCCAACATCATCATGTGGTTCTGAGAGCCGTGTGGGTCTTAGAGCCATGTGGTCCTGAGAGCCTTGTGGTCCACAGAGCCATGAGGTCCGGAGAGCCTTGTGGTCCACAGAGCCATGTGGTCCTGAGAGCCTTGTGGTCCACAGAGCCATGAGGTCCACACAACTAGTCTGCTACCAGTCACACGACTAGTCTGCTGCTAGTCACACGACTAGTCTGCTACTAGTCACACGACCAGTCTGCTGCTAGTCACACTAGTCTACTCAAATGACTCGCACGACTACCGGATTAAACGCGGCGCCGATTGATAGCTACAGAGCTGAAGGCACTCTTAAGAGCAGTCAACATACAGTGAATAAGTGTCACGCTTGAAAAACACGTGTGAATAAACATGCGTCGTATATGATCATACACGGTACACACACATCATACAATGACACACACATACCATACAAAGACACGCACATCGTTCAATGACACGCACATACATCATACAAAGACGCACACACACATCATACAAATACACGCACACATCACACAATGACACACACACATCATACAAAGACACGAAAGGCGCTCGTATGCCACACGGTAGCAGAACCAAGTATGGAGAAATTGTGGCCAATCAGCTGTCGAACTTCATCTTAAATGCTCAGGTAATTAGGGACGGTCGTTAGCGCGCACTCATGCTCATTACTATTAATCAACCATTCATTTATAGGTTGCAGCGGTAACGTTTATGATTAATGTTGCTAGTGCGTTGAAAATTTATTAATAATATAGCAATAGAGTAGCTTTTGTGCTTTAAAATATGAAGGCCGCATGCCTTCAAGTTTTTCAATTATGTTTGCAGCGCTAGACTTTGTTGAGATTTGCATTCTCATCGGCGAAGGTTATATGGCGTCGGAAATGATGGCCTCGACACCAGGCTTCGTTTTACCGTCAAATCTGATTTTTTTTAAGAATATCGTCATCAAAGTTATAATTATTGGTCGCTAGGTGGGGAAATATTGCAATGCAAAACCGAATATTGCTTTTCGTGCTTGGGACAATAGGTAAACGATTATATTTATTACTTATGAAGGAAGTGCATCCATATTAATCAAAGTTATACTTGTTGGTCGCTGGGTGGGAAAATATTGCAATTCAAAACCAAATATTTTTTTTCCGTGCACGGAACAATAGGTAAGCAAACGATTATATTTATTATTTAAATAATATGAAGGAAGTGCATGCATATTAACAGCGACGGCGGCAGGAGCAATAGGAGAGAAGAATGCGTGCATCACGGCCGAGCGAGAGAAGGGAGGTCAGCAAGTGGCTTGTGATCGAGGTCACCCCCACTCAAACGACTGGAGGGGCGGGGGGTGTGTGGGGTTCAGTCGTCCACTCCCCCTGACCTCCCCACTCAAACGAGTGGAGGGGGGGGGGGTGTGGGGCTCAGTCGTCCACTCCCCTGACCTGGAGGAGAGTGACGAAAGAGTGGATCGCCTCCACCTCTGCGTCGGGTGGTTGCGCCACACCTGCTGGAGCAGACGACGACTTGCTCGTGGTCGTCGGCGCGCATCACACGTGCACGTGCCGACGACGCACGTGCAAACGTACGTCTGCGGCCGCCACCGAGAGAGGGAGAGGTGGTGGGTGCAGGAGATTAGGAGCTCCTGAGCCACTGCCTCCCTACAGTCGGTCGAGTCGCGACACACTGAGCCCAACGCGCCGCCTTATATACCTTACATAGGTGGCCATGAGCCAGCCACCTCAGCCATCTCGCAGCCAGTCAGCCATGAGAAGGCTGGGACCGCAGAGCAATAAAATGACGCAGGGAAAGCAAAAGCCGTGCAACAGTTTGCGTTCCTCGTCACTGCACTTCATGAATTTCACTTTACAAGACATAAATTACATTCAAACGAACATTTCCAGTATAAAACATGAGCACATTTTTTTTCTATACGCGCTATTTGATGTATACTAGGCTCATGAGGTGACGCAAAAGGAAATTCAACACTTTTTTTGAAAGACCAAAATTTCGATTTTCGTCTCAAATCACGCAACTTCTTCATACATTACTGCATTTTGAAAAAACGAGCTTACTTGATAAATTCAACACTATTCAAGGTTTCAGTTCATAACGCAGTGAAATATGCATGCTAAATGTGCGAATGTGATTGTTATTCATGCTATTCAACAATTTTATCAAATGTAGAACGCTTATTTGTTTAATTCTTTGTCGAAACTACAGGATCAAGTCAACGAGACGCTGGTGATTCAGCTGTAGGGGAGCAGCCTAGGGGGAGAGGTGACTATGTAGGGTAGGAGGGGGGCAGGGGGAAGGAGTGAGCTGATAATCCCGAGCAGCGCATGACCCCCGAAGCACCCCCGCAGAGTCTACCCCCACTCCCTCCCCCAGCCTCACCCCTTCTCCCACCCCCGCGCCGGCAATCCCCGACTATGGCTGACGTCAAAACACAGCCAAGTGCAAAACTCGACACAGGAATCGACGAAACTTCGTTTCATTGCAGACAAATTACCTTTCAGGGCCGCGACCTTACGTTATGGCGACGCGAATGTGATGTTATGTGGATGTGATGTGAATGTGATGTGAATGTTATGCGAATGTGATGTGAATGTGACGTGAATGTGACGTTAATGTGATGCGAATGTGAGGAGATCCATCCATTATGTGACACGAAATGACGCACAACTACTTAATTGTGACCCAAAATTAAGACACCACACGAATCACTACAATGGTAACCTAGCACGAAGAGAACATGTTCATAGCACTCCATATATCATACACTGTCGCATTATTGAATTAATATCCTGTCACGATCAATAAACATTTTGGCATCGGTAAACACTGCACACTGTCCTATCCGACATCGACAAAAATGCACTGTCTTACATCATCTACTTCTACGACGCAATTAAAAATGCAATGATCTACCTACCGTAAAAAAGTAGAAAAGTTTTCCATCTCAAATAAACTCGGTAAAAATGGATCGCAAATCCAGGGTATAAATGCATGCATTATACTGCATGCTGCCGCGCATTCTATATATATACCCTCATGGATTTAAAGGCCAGCGTAGACTTATCCCGCGACACGGGGCGGGGGAAATTCCCGCGGACCGGGGATGGCTGAGCCCCACGACCCCGCGTCACGGGTGGCAGGGTACAACAAACCCCATGTGGAGGGGAAGAAAGTTCCCCACGACCCCGCGTCACGGGAGGCAGGGTACAACAAAATCAAATACTCGACATCAAATACTTGACATCAAATACTCACCCCGGTTCCTTTATTGAAGGAGATGCTCGCTGTGGACGACGAGTGTTTCTGTGGAGGAAGAACGAGGCCATTAGTAAACCATTCAATGAAATGAAGTAAAATGGATATTAAAGATGAAAACATGACTACAATATCAAGTTGAATTAATTCCAGCAATTAAAGCCGAGTTATTGGTATCAACTATAGTTAGCCAATAGTGGATGAAACATGCGAGGTGGCACGGTAATTTAAAAAAAAAAAAGTTAGGCCATTTATCGTGGAGAATGTGTTGAAAAGTTGCTTGAATTATCAAAATTTTGAAATAAATTTAAATGGAATCAATATGAGTAAAATGTTATGCGTAGTAAACTAGGGTAATTATTCTAGTGAAGCATTATACAGAGGAATCTTTACGTTGATGGCAAGCCTCATGAGTGCAAATTAGAATTGTAAGTCACAATACACTTAATTGTATGAATTAAAAACCTTATAATGTGTTTAAATCTATATGAAAGTTAGTAAACAATAGATGGAACATACCACTCCCGACAATTACAGTGATAACGCATCATGATATTCAATAAATACCACAGTCTAATGCATCATGGGAACACATCTAAACAAACAAAAAAACATGAATAGTGACGGCTTAATTGAATATCGATGTGAGGCTTTTAACAAAGCAAGGCCTGGTCTTGAAATAAACCTGGCGCATAATAATAGCATGAACAGTGGCGCTATTATTACACTGAAGTGCTAAAATTACCCTAGAAGTGCTATTATTACCCTAGAAGTGCTATTATTACCCTAGAAGTGCTATTATTACCCTAGAAGTGCTATTATTACCCTAGAAGTGCTATTATTACCCTAATAGTGCTATTATTACCCTAATAGTGCTATTATTACCCTAAAAGTGCTTATTATTACGCTAAAAAGTGATGTTATTACCGTAAAAAATGCTATTATTACCCTTAAAAGTGCTAATATTCCCGTAAGAAGTGCTATTATTTCCATATAGAGTGCTATTATTACCCTAAAAACGTTATTACTACCCTAAAAAGCGTTATTACTACCCTAAAAACACTAGGCAATGACAGCATCACTTCCGAGTACCTGCTTGCAATCCCTCTAACTGCAGGGAATTTCCTGGTACAGCCGCAGCTGCTGTGGGAACACCAGGGACTATACCTGCGACTGTGAATGCCCATACATAGCATTTGTAGTACTAAAAACAATTTCTATGCATGGTAACAAGGCGCATTAAAAATACCTGTAAGATTGGCAGCAAAAAATAAATAAAAATAAAACACGCAAATGCAGCAGCAACTGCAGTTTTAGAACGGCTGCGCTAGCTACTTCAACACTTGAAACAAAGGTAATGGTATCTTCACACGCAGCTCGCGATATCTTTTATCTACAGGTATATAGATACAGTATATGCAGAGAGAGAAGTGACGTTATACGAGCCACACGGTATAGAAAATAACACGGTGATGAAGTGCGTATACAGCTAGAGCAGCTGGCTGTTGCTTGCAGTGCTTGTGCACGAGACAGACAGCTGGCAACCTCATCACTCGGTTGCCATACATCGCCATATGTACATATACATTTAAAGTATAATTTCCTGGCATATGCGCCAACTTAACTTTAAATAATCCGTCATATGGAATACATCATTAAAATCATTATTCAAAAAGATAAACAATGAAATCACGAATAAGATGCATACGAAACAATAAATAACAACTGGTCTACCAGCACGCGAGTTGCCAGATGTCGCCACCGATAAAGAAGATCACTGAAGCGTAGATGTCCCAAGCTTTACACGCTGGAGCACAAGCTTCAGGGCCCGGATTCAAACAGGCTTTATTTTGTGTGACTATGTACCCATTATACACACGCCCACGTGTGTGGCTCTTATACATACGAGTGCATGCTCCGTGGCGACGGCGTGAATACAGGGTTTTCATACGAGTTCGTGGAAATTGCAATTCTTGGAAACTAGGCCCAAGATTGGCCATTCACACAAACTACCGGTACCTATAAATTGCACTATTTCGCGATAATTCATTAGAGCTGAGGAGATTATTTATTGATGCTACGTAATTGCATTCACTTAATTAATTGACGATCGTAGCTCGTGGATTGATGATCTAAATAATCGACAAGTTTCTCGGTGACCCAATAATAAATTCAACAGGAATTAACCGTAAGAATGTGTCACTTGGAAGCCAAAGTCTAATTTCACTTCCATTGTCCCACAAATGCAGTTACAGGTGCAGTCCGTATAATGAACCCTTCACTATAAGGTTACTTTGCAATGCACATTAAGGTTTAAATGAGGACACATTTGTACTTATGTGTGGTCAGGGGCTTTGATATACAGGAGCTTCTTATGAATGACTTGAAAGTCACCGAGGTTTCAGCTAGGAAGTAGTAGCTTGTCTAGAGATGATGAGCGAATTGAGATTAACGAGGAATGTTAGTAAACTTATTATATGGAATGCGTCAAGCTACTTAAAATAACGTTTCATTAGAATGTAAGTAAACATATTTTGTAGAATACGTCGGGCTACTTAAAATAACGTTTCATTAAAGCAATCACGAATAACATGCACGAGCAGGTTATAGTTAAAAGGCGCACCATTTGACAGTGCACACCATCTGACAGTGCACACCACCTGACAGTGCACACCACCTGACAGTGCACACCACCTGACAGTGCACACCACCTGACAGTGCACAGACTGCACGGCCTTGAGCACCCTGCCTGTATCGTATAAGCGCGCAACCGTCATGTCTGCTACCGGACGATGCGGGTACCGCCGTTCAGATTTACGTACGAGTTGCAGTAATGTTCTGTTGCAAATTCCAACTTAGCCCCAACGTAGCTAAGAAAATAATCATCGAAAATTATATTTGACATGCGGAAATTAATATTTTACTGGTGAAAATTGATTTTATATTAAAATTTATGGGCAATTTTTTCATGGGAATCGCCAAGTGCTTAAAAGTACAATTCAGAGCACCTTGATAGTTTATCATTTAGTAAGCCGATTGATTTCAAAATAATGATGCTGAAAACGTTACTGCATGAATAAATCTTAGCATTCATATTTTCTTTGGGTCATTGAAAAGCGGAAACCATCATTTTTATGACTAGACCTTCCTTGCAGCGATGCGTGATGAAGGCGCATAACAATACTACGGATTCAGGCCTCTATAAAGTAAAAACGAGCGTCCTTCCCCCCGACGCATGAGTTTTGCCTGTTAAGAGCCGCTGGTCGACCGCAATCTAGTTTAAAGGGCAAGCTTGGTAATTTGAAACACTAAAACTTTTCTGGGATTTGAAAAAATTATAAAAATATGGTCTGACCAGAAATCCCACATGAAGAACAAGGACGAAAAACGTACTTCAGTAACGCTGAATTTATCAAACAATTTTAATTCGCATTCTTTTTCCTAATTATACGCTGAGATGAAGAGCGACACTTGAGATGCCTGACGCTAAATTTTCATGTTGAAATAAATTCATGCCCCTATATAAAATCCATGATAAAATAGCAATGATATATATAGAAGCAACAATATGTATGAAAATCTCAATAAAACGCTTAGAAAGTGAATTGAAGAACAACTACTTACAACTACTTAATAAAAAGTAGGGTAAATATATGAATAATTACATGCAGCACCCCGTAGTATACGTGTTAGTAGTCCATAATATTTATACTTATTTACCAAGTCTGCATGAATGAATTGCATTACGTACACCACAAAATCTTATCTTTAGCTGGATATAATTTAGGATAAAAATGTAGAACAGTTACAGCGCTGACAGGTGGCTGAAGTGTTTCTCAACCAGCAGCTGGTTAACATCGCAACGTCAACATGACCAACGAAGCGTCATGTAAAAAGAAACTTGAGAAGAGTGCATGAATTCATGACCGTCTGAATACACGCGCAGGTATTAAATGAATGACTGGCTATAACTATGGCATGTGCTTATTGGCATGGAAAAATGGTGCGGCTTTACATACAATTGCATATCACACGATACAATTACATAAAAATAAATAAATACTGTTTCTGTACAATCCGAAGTGCGTCTATACAAGCAAACAAGAAACAGTACAACTGCAACACCAGAAATACGGCTGCAACACAGGAAAAAGCTGTAACACCAGTACCTACTAATAATATAATAGTATTTTATATAATATATAGAATATAATAGTATTTTACAACTAAACAAAATAAGGTCATAAAAATAATACGACATCAACATCATGCAGTAATATCCTAGACACTCCAGATCAACATCAATTGAAACTAGAAAATTTTTTGGACAAAAGATTTATTCAAGAAACAAATCTCTGGCATGTTAAAAATTTTATTTAATTTTCAAGATTTAGAACATGATGAAATATTTGATACGAAGTGCTGTACGTGACGACGATAATCTGCCGGTGTGCCAGGACAGCGCGCCGCGAGATAAGGAAATGATAATGATAGTAGAGATGATAGTGATAGTAAAGATGATGATAATGATGGTACAGAGATGATAATGATGGTACAGAGATGATAATGATGGTACAGAGATGATAATGATGGTAAAGGAGATGATAATGATGGTACAGAGATGATAATGATGGTAAAGGAGATGATATTGATAGTACAGAGATGATAATGATGGTAAAGGAGATGATATTGATGGTACAGAGATGATAATGATGGTAAAGGAGATGATATTGATGGTACAGAGATGATAATGATAGTACAGAGATGATAGTAGAGATGATCATGATAGTACAGAGATGATAGTAGAGATGATCATGATAGTACAGAGATGATAATGATAGTAGAGATGATCATGATAGTACAGAGATGATAATGATAGTAGAGATGATCATGATAGTACAGAGATGATCATGATAGTACAGAGATGATAATAATAGTAAAGAAATAATGATAGCAGTGGACAAGGCAGTCAGTTTGAAGGCAGACGGGCCGAGATAAGAGATAATCACGGCAGCAACAACCAATCACGCAATGATAAGCGGCCTCAT